CCAAAAACAGTTACTGTAATATTTAAGTCAAAGCTTTTCTCTCATTCAAGAAAAGAGAAATTCACAGCACTTTAGTTTTTACTAAGAAATTTAAAGTTAAAGATAGATGTTAAAAATATAAATATAAGGTATGGAGAGCTTCCAAACTAATAAGAAAAAAATAAAAACAAAAGATTTATAATATTGTCCCCCCCATGAAAGAAGAAAAAAGAAAGATGGTGAGATAATAATCATAAAATACAAATTAATATGTTAGAACAGATGAAAGAAACGCATTGATAGCAGTGCTGCTATGGGAAACAAGTAGAGTTGGTTAAACAAAAAGCCTCTCAATACTTTTATTTTTGTTCACACAAAATTTAATATATCCTGCTGTTAAGAAAATCATAAAACTTAGAAGCTTCAGACATTTATAGCTAAATGGATGGACCTTCAGACCATACTCCTAAGTGAAGTGAATCACACACGTTTAAATACCACGTTGTTTCTCTGGTGTGAGAAACCAAAAATGGAAATAAGGAAGAGATGTATAATGGATGTTGCGAAGTGGGAAGAAAGTGTTCAAATGTGAGGGGGAACAAGGGAGAAGGAAGGGAGAAAGGAAGGAAGGGACAAAAAAAGTGAAACAGAAGGAAACAATGGAAACAAAGCTTTTGTAGATTGGGAGGGGAGGGGGCTTGAGGGGGGAAAGGGATAAAATAAAATTTATTTTAAAACAAATAAAAAATAACATCAGCCATTTTCCCCAAAGGGGGGAAAATCATACAACTTACAAACAAAAAGAATTAAAATACAATAATTGTTCTTTTACACTATGTTGGAAACATGGCTTTTGCACTTTGCCTATCTATGACATACTATACTTTCAATAAGATATACTATGTTCATCAAGACCCTTGACGTGATGCTTTATTACTACTAGTCACAAGAAAGCAGAATACAAGGATCTCTATGAAATGAAGTACATTTATTTGCTACCTTCTTCATTGTTCCTGTGATCCTGCTGAGGTGCAGGTTCTAAAGTAGGAACCTCAGTTGCTTTTGTGCACATCCAGGAAATTTGCCCAGCAGATGCCTCTGACTTCCAGTCACACAAGTCAAACTCAGATCCACAGGACTGACATGCTACAGACGGGAGGAGAAGATATTAGTGAACCATTATAGTTTGCTAGAGTGGCTGCTTAACTAGGGTTAGATGTTATCATTGATGGAGAGGCCCACACAAACATATTAATATCTGGAGATTTTGATTTAATAATATGATTTAGGGGATACCAGTAACTCTATTTTGTAGAAGTTCTTCAGTGGATCCAGATGTGCACCCTCTCACAAAAGAACCACTGGTGGGAGAAGGGAAAGGAAGGAAACAGGAAGGGAGCAAAGGGGGGAAGGGATAAGGAAAGGAGAGAGAGAGGGCGAGGGTGAGAGAGACAGAGAGATTTCTAGTTTCTTTGGTACCACTGCCTCATTTACAATTTTTTAAATTTTATAGTGTTTGGCCTGAGGCTGGGGTTGTGGCTCAGTTACAGAGTACTTTCTTAGCATGCATAAGGCCCTGGTTTTGATCCCCAGCACTGGAAAATTATAGTGATACTTGGTCTTACCTACTTTATGGAATTAGATCATTTAAATTATTTGTTATTCACAATTGCACTAGAATTTTAAAGGAGAAACAGTGTATAATTCTAAGATGGTCTTTAGTTGAGTCGTTTTACAAAACATCAACTTAAATGTTTTCAGTATTTTACACCTTTAAAAAGGTGTTTATTAAAATAAACCACAGCCTTCTTAAACACTTCAGCTAACTCTAGGACATTAGTGTGAATAAAGGTTGCATGTACATGTCTATGTCTTATAAAGTGTGTACACACCAATAAGGTGAGCATCTCAACTTCACACTTACATCTCAGTTCTTCATCTGTAGAATCACATCTGCAGAGATCCGGATGATATAGCTGCTCCTCAGTATTTGATGCTTCTTGACATGGTAAAATTTCATCTGTTAAATTTAAAGAATGGCAAAAAGTGAGATGCAGGCACCACTGGAAAGATTCCTTGCTATTAATTCAATGCTGCAAAGCAGTTTCTACCATGTGGTAACCCTACTATACAAAAGAGGAAGGAGAGGAAGTGAGAGAGGGCAAGAGAGGAAAAGGCGGAAAAGGAGGAGGAAGAAGAGGAAGAGGAGGAGGAGGAGGAGGAGGAGGAGGTGGTGGTGGTGGTGGTGGTGGTGAAGGAGGAGGAGACAGAGGTGGAGAAAGAAATGACCATGCCAATACTTCTGTATTTTAATCAGATCTGTGCAGTATCTAGCAGGTTCCCTACCCAAACCAAACCTTCTGTTTCCACAAAAGTAAGTTATCTGCCCTAATGTTGAAACTAAGAGCCTGCTACTACAATTGTAGGTCTCTATCACATGTGTGACTCCTTTAACCGGAAGATGGATCTACCCTAGAACTCTGAATCTCTCTCAACTTGTGCTTGGTTTGTTGAAGGTTTTCACTTGCAAAAGTCTTCTTGCCCCTCCTGCCCCTGTAATTATTTCCATACAATTCTTTTTTTTTTTTTTTTTAGTACCAGGGATCAAACTTGGGACCTTGCACTTTCGAGGCAGGTG